ACTGTGGGCTTCTCGCTGTGTCCCCCCATGGTGGAGGGGGCAAGGCATCTCTCCTCTTTTATGATGGTGTTAATCCCATTCCTGATGGCTCCACCTTCACGACCTCATCACCTCCCAGAGGCCTCACCTCTTAACACCATCATACTGGGGATTAGGTTGCAACAAGAATGTGGGACACAGACATTCAGTCCATACCACTTGTTAAATAAATAAATAATTAACATATATTCTAGTCTGGTTCTGTAAAATCGAGTACTATTTTCAAGGTTCTCATACTGAATCCTTTTCTAAGATGAGGAAGCATTTTGTAAAGTAATGATTTCTGATATATTATAAATTTGAACTTTCATATTAAAATTTTTATTAAATTTAGATAAAGTGATAGGTATTATACAGTTTCTTTCTTAATTATAAGAATATTAAATTTTCAAAAACAGCTAATAGCTAACCTTTATCTAATACTTAGTAGCCCATATCTGAGGTACTGTTCTTATTGCTTATATGTATTAACTAATTTAATCTTCCTGATAACTCTCTCCATTAATTACTATTATATTTCCCACTTTACAGGGAGGAATCTGGATATAGAGAGGTTAATCGGCTTGCCCAAATCCACACACTCAGTCTGTGGTGGTGCCCAACTTCTAGCTGCTGTTCAGGTTCTGAATTCCCTATTCGGCAAGCTTCTCGGGCAGAAATAGTACAACTACTTGGGGGCTAGGAGGCAGGGGTTGTTTCTAAGAGCCTAAAGCATATGACTGGGTGTACCTTCAGGGCCTTGGTTGTAGGTAGTCAAACCGACTAGTTCACCCAAGCAGAAAAGGCATTCATCCATGCGTACTGCTAACAGAATCCAGAGAAGACTGAAGAATGGGCGTGAGCAGAAATTAAGAAGGCAAGGTCCCTGGCCCCGTTTGGGAGGACACCCCTGGCTCAAGGGCCTCCACCGACCCTGCTGCCCTTGTGGCGCCCAGGCCCGGCGACTGGGAAAAACATCCCAGCGCTTCCCCGCCCCGCTCCAGAGGCGGGGCTCTGGCAGGAGCGTCTGATTGGCTGTGTCTGGGTCACGTGACACGCTCCTTCTTCCTTCGTTCAAGCTTTATTACTGGCAGGTGGAGAAGCTGCTTTCCTCCTATCTAGGGTATACCCCCAACTCCCAAAACAAAAAAATCAGAAGAGTTTTGAGGTGAGAGGAAGCCAAAGTGACAAATGTCTTTTCCTTTTGGGACCTCAACTGGATGTTTCTCAAGTTCCCTTGTAGCCCCAAGAGTCTCTGGATTTTCCTGGTACCATGGCTGATAGAACATGGATTGGAGCTCTATATCAATTAGGCTTCCAGAAAGTGTTTATCAGTGAGTATAATAAGTGTGTTAGCCTTTGGCACAAAAGAAAATAAGGATGCACACTTATTTATAGCATCTAGCTTTCTGATTCAGAACAGGCTGTTTCAGCGGCTGAGCTCCTTTTGTTTATCGGGAAAACAGTTGATATTTATCATTCCTCCTAGCAATAGGGGGAAGAAAAGCATTTAAACATTTAAATGTTTCTGTGTATATATTTAAGTACTTAGTGGTTATATTGCAATGAGCTGGTTGCGTAGAGCTGTTAGGACAAACCTCATTTTTGATCGTCATCTATGTCCTTCTCCACACACTGGCTCCTTTGCCTAATTCCACCTACGTGATCATGATTCCTGGTGCCTCCTCTCCCACTACCCCTCATCCCCCGACTCAGTTTCCAAGTACTGTTGGCTTTTCATCTCTTGGTGCTCTCTCCATAGCACGCGTCCTCCCCCACTTCTTGCCAGCCCCTTCCACCTCACACCTGGATTAGGTCTCCCCTCTGTGCATCTTGCCTACTTGATCTTTTCGTCAAGAGGCTTTAGTTTTTATTTCCAAGGTGCTTCTTAAAGGCTCCCTGTTCTTGTCAGCATAGTAGAGCTGTTTAGAGGGCTCTGGGGTCAGGTTCAGATCCCAGCTCTGCCGTTTAGTGTCTGTGTTAGTGAGGGATGTAACCAGATGTAATTAACAAAACCAGCTCACAGTGACTTAACCAAATAGGAGTGAATTTCTCCCCCTATGACAACAAGTCTGGGGAAAGGCTGCAGTCACAGCCACAGCACATCACAGCCTCCGGGACCCAGCGCTTTCTCTCTTTTTGCTTAGACATTCTAGAGAATGGCTGTCATTCTCATACTCTTGCCAGGGCTGAGGGCAGAGTGTGTGCCAGCTGGGACAGCCCTCCTCTTAGACACCCCTGCTGGAGGCTCCCCCAGCGGCTTCTGCGGACATCACATCGTCCAGAATGAAGTCACATGTCCACAGATTTTGGCTAAGCACGTTGCCAGTGTGATCAAAATGAGGGACTAAGTGTTCGTCTTGCTTGGGATCTGCAGATGCCCATCCCACCATCACTAGGCGCATATGTGGTGCTTATTAAATGCTAACTACTTCACTTTTTAAAATATTTCTGTTCGGGCAGGTTTTCACAATAAACCAGCTAGCATACTGTTTGCTGGGAACTTCTATGTAAATATCACCCAAAATTCTCTCCCACCTCCTCACCCCGCCTTTATCATTTCCTGCAGTCTGTTGCCCTCTCTGTGGCTCCTGCATCCCCCAGCCCCCTGCCCCTCCCTGTGTGTCCATCCATTAGTCCTGAGACTTCCATTGTCGCTCCCCCTCTGCCCCGGGCTGGCTACAGAGCATCACTAGGGAGAACTGGCAGCCCCCGTGCTGCAGACGCCAGCGCCCGACACCCCCCCCAAGGTGACCCTGATGTCAGCGTTCTGTCCCCACAGGGTGGAGTTGTTTAAAGCTTTTCCGAAAACTCCCAGCCCTATTCCGTTTCTCTGCTCCCACACCCACTTCATCCCACCTTTGCCGAGAAGACAGTGGCTGGGTGGGACAGCCAGGAAGGGGCTCTCCTCTTCAGCTTCTAGAGCCTGCCTTCTGAAGAGAAGGCCTTATACCAGGGGCCTTGTCTGCTCGTTGGGCTCAGGTTGCCTCCTTGGAAAGATGGCGCTAGATAAGCCTCCGTTCTTCCTCCCGCAGGCGTGTGCTTCACACATCCTGTCCTTCACTGCTCACCTTCTTTTCTCTGTTCCCCGGGTGGTGCCCTCCAGCGCACCCCAGGACTGTGTTCCCAGAGCTCGGCCACCCACTGCCTGGTCCGGGGCCCCTGGACCTCCAGCGCCCTGACCCTCTCATCGTCTCCACCCTGAGACCCCGTGTGCGTCTCCTTTCCTGGCCCCGAAGCTGAGATGCTTCCCAAGGCCCTGCCCCAGCTGCCCTTCCTGCGAGCACTCCTCTCATGTTCTCCAGCCTCTCCTGATGGTGTTAGCTGTTTTCTCAAATGTACTTTTTTCCCAGTTACCTTTCTTGTGGTAAAATACATATCTTACCACCTTAACCATTTTAAAGTGTGCAGTTGGGTGGCGTGAAATACAGCCTCAGTGTCGTGCAGTCATCAGCACCCTCTATCTCCAGGATGCTTTTCAGCTTGTAAAACTGGAACTCTGTCCCCATGAAATGCTCCCTCCCCTGCCCCTGGCAGCCCCCATCCTACTTGCTGTCTCTATGATTTTGACTGCTCTAAGTACCTCATACAACTGGAATCATGATATTTATCTTGTTGTGACTGACTTATTTCACTGAGCATCGCGTACTCAAGGTCCATCCATGTTGTTATGCCTTTAATTTCTTTCAGCTCAAATGTATGTCTTTTGTTAGATCTTCTCTTGAGGCCCCAGTTTGTCTCTAATTACCTCTAGTAAGTCATCCCATGACACCTCAAGCCCACCATGTTCCTTACCAAGCTCATTAAAAAAAAACCTTTCTTCCACATTCTCCTTTTATTCTAAAAATTCTCTCTTTCTCTTTCATAAACACACACGTGTGCACACGTGTGCATACACAAGGATCTTCTCTGCTCTGGGTTTGCTCCCGGAGACTTTGGAGGCCTCCTTCAGGCCCTACGCCTCACCAGCCATCCCACCCCCTTCCTTGGGTGGCCTGTCTTTGCTGCTTCCTACTCAGACACATTTCTTGGTTCTTAAGTCCCTGGACCATTCTATGCACTTTAATCCTGGTCTGTCTCCACTCTGATTGCACGACCCTCCCCCGGCCCCCCAAATGACCTTCCTAAGCTCTGATGCGATTATTATCACTCGGTGCAGAAACCAGAGGCTCCTCACTGACGGAGAGTGAAGTGTGTCTGTAGATTACCCACCGGGCAGGTACGGAGGTGACAGAGAAGTCAGGATTTCTGCCCTTGATCGTTTCTCATAGTGGGATATGGCCGGGCTAGGGCAGGAAGAGTGAAGACAGTGACACTAATGTACAGTTACGAACTTGAGGAACACAGAGGAAGGAGAACCAAAGCTGGGATGGAAGAGGGAGATGGAACATCCTTGAAACGGAGCTGCCGTATCAGACTCTCTGTGACTTGGGCCCAGCCCACACCTGCCTTGCCTGATTCCACCCATCCCTGCCCGTGTGCCCAAAGCTAGGTTTATATTGGTCCACCTGCCATTGTCGAGGCGGAGCGTACCCTGTCACCTCCACGTCTCTGTTCATATGCCCCTCTTCCAAATCATAGCTGCATTTTTTTTTTTCTTTCTCATCAATCAAGGCCCAGCTTAAGGAGCATTTTTCCAGGATGCCATTTCTGAATCCTGTGATTACTTTCCCACGCTTGGGGCCCTTGTCTGTCTGGGCCTTGTGTTTGAGTTGTTTGTGTCCCTGCCTCTTTCTTTGTCCTGGATGAGAAACCACTTGAGATCAAGTATTGTATTCTGGTCAACTGTGGATGGTCCTGGCTTCTGGCACAGCCCCCGTCGGGGGCTCCTTAGGAGGGGTTTGGTGAAGGATTCTGTTTTAAGCATTCAAGGGAATGCTTAGGTTTTGTAGGACTGAATGTGCGTAGACACAAACTCACACTCATCCAGTTGTGCCCCCGGCAGTTCTCAGATGCCTGCATTTGTTCTTCTCTCTGACCAGTGCTTGGAAAGAGCCATGAAGTTTGCCTTCGAGGAGTTCCAGCTCTGGTACCAGTTTGCGCTGTCTCTCATGGCCGCGGGAAAAGTGAGTCGCCCCTTGGGATGTGCCATCCTCCCTGTTAGTGTTCATGTCCCGGAATTCCAAGGGGTGATATCAGACCTTGGAGAAGTCTAAACCAGCTATTCGAAGCTGTCCTGTGGTCATTTGTGAGAGGGCAATCAGATTTAGTGATTTGGGAGCCGGCATGGACACACCATGGAGAAGAAAAAATCTGACATATTTGCCTTTTACTGGCCCTTGTAACTTTGTCATATGAAGACGGGCTTAAACCAAGGCTGCTTCTTCACACAGACCCTTTCACATATTTGAGAGCATAACTGTATTCCTGGAGGGGGACACCGTTAGTGGTCGTTAGCAACCTATCACATTAGGCAGCGTACGATGCTGGTCGAAAGCGCGGGCTGTGGAGTCCAGCTGCTGGGGTTGAGGCCTTGACCCAGGCCAGGTCACTTAGTACCTCCATGTCCCCCTGGGCAAAGTGCAGCATCACAGCACCTCCCTCATAGAACCGTTCTAGGTAAATGAGGTAACACCCGTGAGATGCGTGGACAGCAGCCCCCACGCAGTACACGCACAATAAAGGGAGGAGCCATTTTTCTTCTTGTTAACTCGGGCCATTTAGTGACTTAGTAAGTCTGAGGTAGGGGATTTTTGGGGCCAAGTGGAGGCAGAAATTTAGGATAGTGTGCTCTAAAATTATATAGTTTATTTTTCATAATAACTTAATAAGCCTTCACTGTCTTTCTTTTTTTTTTTTTTTTCTTATTTTTATAATGGCTACACAAGTAAGGAAGAAAATGAGGGTGATTCCAGGGAGGCACCTCTGCTTGTTCTAACCACAGGTTACTCCCCGGTCACTCAAGAGCCCCACGCTCTGGTTGTCGCCATCCTCAGGCCTCCAGGTTGAAAAACCTCATTAACAGGTTTCCTAACCAGAACCCCTCAGGGAAGGCCTTAGTGTTTGGTTCCGTCAAAAACTTTTGAGTTTCACAGAAATAATCTCCTTTTGCCAAGTCTGCACGGGCCGTGAAGGTGCTGAAAGAGTGTATCCGTCTGAAGCCCGACGACGCCACCATCCCGCTCCTCGCCGCAAAGCTGTGCGTGGGGTCTCTTCACTGGGTGAGTAGGGCTGGGGCCCTGTGCTCACAGGCAGCACTGCCAACCTCTTCCACCTCAAGGCACTGAGAGAAAAGAGAGAGTAGCAATCTACCAGCTACACAAAAACAAGGCTCTTCAGAGCCCGGGCCCCCAGGCCCCCTCAGGCCTCACCCACCCATCCTAGGACTGAGGGGAATCATGTTCCTGGGATACTCGAGGTGTTTCTTTTTCATGGGAATGTGCTTCAAAAGTTGAATGGATAAAATAGAATTGGAATTCATACTCATGTAAGTCTTGCTGTGTATGCAGGGGGTGCGGGACTGAAAAGGTTTATGTCACTGAATGACTCACTCTTAGCAGAGCTGAGTTGTTCTGTACAGCAAAGAGTCACCGTCTACTCCAGCTCATGTGTAAACCAACCGCGCTCATTCCTCTTCCTTCATATGGACTTTCCTCTTCAGATATTCTTGTACAGATTTGAACTGGGGACTAGTCTGGTTTGTAACAGGTCTGATACCTCAAAAATATACCATTTGAGTGGAAAATAGGAAACCCCAGACTAACCTACGAGGTGGTGGTACAGATAATTACCACATACGATCCAGTTTTAATTTCTTTTCTTTAACTTCCTATCGAGATTAATTATAAGAAGAATTTGCTCAAAAGACCACGGTGCCTTGCTAAGGGTCTTCACCATGACGGTCCTTGCTGCCTGTTTTTTTCCATTTATCCTCACCCAGCAGGACAAAAGTAAGCCTTGTGAGAAAGTGTTCTACTTCTGCTAAATTTGACTGGGGGAAATATGGAAGGAAAAAGACATTTTGAAAGAGCAGGCTCTCACCTGAAGCTCACAGCTGTGAAGCTGTCGTGTGGTCCGTGCAGGATGCGACCATTTGGCGCCACCAGCGCGGGAACAGTGCAGGCAGGCTCCGGCCACGGGCGGGGGAGCAGGCCAGACCCTGCAGCTTTGAAAATGCCAGTTCCCAGCCATGACTCTGTCGCGCCCCTTCCAGCTATGGCATCGTTCATGACTGTCACATAGATCTCTCTAAAGCCAAAAATAAACCGGACTCTTTTTTTTTTTAAAGATGAGCCTAACAAATCTTTTCTTTTTTACATTTTTATTATTAAAATTTCCAAACTCCACAAAAGTAAAGAGTATGATGAACTCCCAGGTACTCTCACCCAGCTTCAGGGACCTCAACATTGGCCATATTTTGAAGGAACGAATCTTATTATTTTGGCTTCTAATGAATTGTGCCAAAGGTCTTATTGTGGGTGTAGTTTACAGGTGCACATTTTCTCATTGGAATCGGCTGATGCGGGGTCCCTGTGCTGTGCGTTGTAAAATAAATAAACGGGAGTTCTGAACAGCTTGTAGAAAAGAGAATCTGAACCTAAATGTATTCTTTTTGTCATAAAAAAAAAAAAAAAAGAAGGACCCAGACACAAAAAGTTTCAAGGAGTTTATTTTTTATATATATATATAAAATTCACTGAATACCTAACACAGCCTAATTATACAACCAATTAGTAAAAAATAAAGATGAAAAAGATAGAACTCCCCCCCCCGCCCCAACAACAATGAGAATGACTTTGGAAAAGAAGGTCAAAAAGCAATAGGGAAAACGTTAAAGAGAAAAGGCAAGGTGGGTACCCTGAGGACTGTTGGAGAGACTCAAATAAAGAAAACAGAATCACCACAGTGGAGTCGGAAGATTTGGGAGTGATTTTCACAGTGACTCATCAGAAATCTGTTTTTGGCAGCAGATGCTTATGGGAACTCATGTTAGAAATTCTGCAGGTCATTGTTGTTTTTAACTTGTCTGGTTTTTCAGTTGGAAGAGGCTGAGAAGTTTGCCAAAACCGTCGTGGATGCAGGAGAGAAAACGTCAGAGTTCAAGGCCAAAGGCTACTTAGCTCTGGGGCTCACGTACAGTCTGCAGGCCACTGACGGTGAGAGAGGCCCCACCCCCTGGGATCTGGGAACCACAGGGCTGGGCTGCCTAAGTCTGCGCTGCAGGGTTCCCACAGTCCCCACAGAGGACTGTCGCAGGAGGCCACGTACGTTGGGTCACCCGGGCGTGCCATCATGTGGGAACCTGCTGCTGCTGCCCTTTTTGCTCAGACTGGTTGGAGAAATCGGAGAGCAAGGACGAAGGTCCTGGGCGCCGGGTGCATTGTGCTGGTGGTGCAGAGAGTGCCCAGGTGACAGGCGCAGGGCACCTGCGGGGAGGTGAAGGTGAGCAGGGCCTTGAGAGATGGTTCCCCTAACCCAGCCTGTACCTGTGTCCGCCCCAGCACTTGGCTGGGCTGTCCCTATGAGAGGAGATGTTGTATCTTAGGCACAGGAATGTGGATGAGTTTAGGGCCAGCCTCCTCCAGTAAGCTTCCCTTGATTGCTTAGGATGCCCCTTCTCTGTCAGTACATTTTAATTCACAGATACATACACATGCAGTGCGGCAGCTTACCAAACACTCATGCGGTCGCATGCATTTTGGATGTACATAGAACTTGGGGACTCTGGCTATTTTTTAAAAATCTTGATTATGTTTTGTATCCTTAATGAAGTTTTCAATTATATTTGCAGGAAGTATAAATTAATAAATTATTTTCCTGAACTCTTAATAATTTCTTTAACATTTTATTGTTAAATATAATACAAATGTAAAAAAAATTTTTTCAAAAACCAGCGTATAATTAATGAATTATTAATTATTAATCTGTGTAATCACGACCCTGCTCAGGAGGTAGAACCTTGCCAGCCTCCTGGGGAACTTTTCATGGGCCTCCTCCCCATCACAGGGCCCCTGAAGAGAAAACACTCACTGACTTTTATAGTATTCACTTTCTTTTTCTTTTTTTATAGCTTTGCTATAGTTTATTTTACAAATCACCCCAAAGCCTTCTTTCCTCTGCCGTAAAATAGCAGAGATCTTAGAAAAGTTTCGCATATCAATTGGATTTTCAGTAATGGCTTTTTTGGCTAATTTTTCCTGCACACATGATAAGCTACACCCCCCAGCACCTTGTTTTAACTATAGTAGACTTTCAGCGAAGTGTGAATGTAATGCCATATATTTATCCATACAGATTCCTAGTTTGGATCCTACCCCTCATGAGCCCTATAGCTTTGGGACAGTTGCTTGACCTTGTTGATCCTCCTCTTGCATTCATGGTTCAGTTGGGTCACCTGAGGTTCCCTCTAGCTTAGTCACTGTTGTTCTGAGTTCGCTGTGGTTACAGCCACATCTGTCTCTGGGACGGCCTTCCTCCTTTCCCAGTGGAATGGCCCCACGGGGATGTTCGATAGGGCCTCTCCAGTTCCACCTGCAAGCGGTTCTTCCAGGACTTTTGCTCTTGGCCCAGTAAAAAGTACCTTCGTAGTTCCCCTGACAGACCCGAAGGGCACCATTTCTCACATACTCTCTACAGGGGACTTGTGGGCTCACAGCAAGATGCCCTCACACTTTTCAGCTGATTTTCTAGTATCAGTGTTGAGGGTTTTCCTGGTCTCTCCCTTGTGTTTACATCAAGGTATTAAAGGTCCTGGCCATTGTCCAGTGTGACCTAAACAGGCCTTTTATGGCATCAAGCTAGTTCCCTTGGCGCAGTATCCTAGCTGCTCAGTGCCAGAAGGAACTCTGAAGGCTATCTCTAGTCAACACTGTTGGTACTGGAATCTCTTCTGTACCACCCAGTAGAGGCAGTCCTCACCCAGAAGCCACATGCCTGTGCTTGAGAGAGCAGGTGTGCTCCTCTCTGGAGTTCCCAACTGGTCTTCTGACAGCAGCCCCCAATGCCTTGGGCATCATGGTGCCCGGCCAACTCATACTCTCCCCCCCGGCATGGCTCTGCAGTGGTGCCCACTGAGTGCACGTGTCTGGGGTTGGCCTGGGCTTCATTGCCTGGTGCTTGGAGAAGACTGGGCACGCAGGCGCCAGAAACATGTTGCTTTTGATCCAGTTGAATGTATAGGTTTTATGATGAGCTTTGTATTTGTCAAAAGCTCCCTGATCTTCCATGCCACTGACTAATTGAACCCTTTTCTTAGCTTCTTTGCGAGGGATGCAGGAGGTCCTACAGAGAAAGGCGCTTCTTGCATTTCAGAGGTGAGTGGGAGTTCATCTTTTCACTCGGCTGTGCATAATGACACCAAAGTATGATAAGTATAAAAAGAAGAGATATTTATAAAGATTATGTAAACAGTGTTTTCCCCCTGGGAATCTTTCATCTTGCGCACTGAACATAGAGTATCAAAACTTGCTGCCTGACTTGTTGCCATGTAATCTGCACCCTTACTCTGTTTATCCATTTGGGCACGTGTTGTTCATTCCTAATAAAATGATTTCAGCTCTAAGAAGATGGATACTCTGGATGTCTAGGGAGGTGATTCCTTTTATTAAAAGCAATTGTCATCCTCTAGAAGAGAGATCATTCTTTTCTAGCCTTTTTTTTTTTTTACATGTCATGCTGCAGATTTTTATATGACGAAATGAAAAAAGCTAGACTTTAGGACAGTTTCCAAAATGCTATGTTACTGGTTTCTAAAATACTGGTTAATGGCAGGCCAGCAAGTCTCGGGACCCTGCACCCTCGCCGCGCTCCATAAACCTTGTGATTGTCTCCATCATTATGATTTTCATGAAATTAGGAGAATGCCTTATAATTAGAGAGTGCTTGAGAGCTCTTTCCTATCCCTTCTCGAGCCTGATCCTCATGCCAACTAACGCAGACGGAACAAGCGGTGCGTCTTCTGCAGGTAAGGGACCAAGATGCACAGGAGGGTAAAAGAGCTGCCAGAGTCGCCAAGCTATTGAAGTCAAGACAGAATCACGGTCTCCTGACTCCCACTCAGCTTTCCTTGTCCCTGCTATAGCACGCCACTCTAATTTTGTTTCTTACTGCAGGTGTAATAAAGCACCCCAACGAATCATTGCCTGAAAGCACAGCCCCATGATGTCAAATCTTGAATCGGTATTGATCCTGCCACCTTGAATACATTTGAGTCACATTGACTTCTTGGAATTGTATTAAAACTTAGTTACTTACCTGAAAATTTCATGAGGACCTCTCAATACCTAAGAAACTTCATTCGATTCCTTTCCTTTGAAAAGGCACCTGGGGTTGCCTGCAGATTTGTCACTGTGCACACGTCCCTTTTTTCATGAAATCATTATCACTTGGCTTCAGTGACTGGGGGACTCTTGTCTCATTTCGTTTTGTTTCCTAGCAGGCTTGCTGATGGCTTCTTCACTTTGCCAGTCCCAGACCAGCTAATGGCACAAAGTACCAGTTGACATCAGCCAACAGACCTCCTCTCTCTGTGCTAAGCTTTTGTTAATGTTCTTCAGCATGGAGTGTGGAAGCATTTCCATTTCAAATGATTTGGAGTTTTATGTCTTCTAGTCCTAGTTTGTCAAACCCACACATGGATGCCTCCGAAAGCGGTCATCACATCTGTTTCACTTTCCTTAAATCAGCACATCTTACCAGCTCTCTAAAAACAGCCATGGTGGTGGTCTGCCTTGAGCTGCCAGAATTCGTAACTTCGTGTTATATAACAGCCATTCCATTGGCCTGAAATTCCTTTCTGTTCCTTTTTTTACTTAGGTTTCAATTCAGAGAGATTTTTTTAAAAATATTAGTTCATGGGAATAAAGAGTAATAAAATCCTGCTAACCTACACGATTATCTTGGGGAAGGCTAACCTAAATTAGTATTTGTGTGAAATAAATAATATTTTTCAAAGGAATAAAATTACTTTGTTTTTGAGTACATTCATTAACTGGAACTATTCTAGTACATTGTAGACTTAAATCTATAAGGGAATGATTTGAAGTAAATAAGAATGATTTGTATTACTTCTTAAATGTAAGTGGCTATTTAAAAACCACTTGGCTGAGAAGTACTTATTTGCTGTGTGTTGTAAATCTTCTCCCCACAGTTCTACTATTAAGTCTACTATCGTTTGACAATTTTTTGTTTAAAGAGAACGCAGTATAACTCAAAAAAGATGAGGTCAGGGCTCCTGGCTGGCTCAGTCTGTGGAACATGTGACTCTTGATCTCGGAGCCCCACATTGGGCATGGAGCCTACTTTAAAAAAGGAAAGGGATGGGGTTATAGTTATAGCACGTGAAAATTAACTCTTAATTATAACCACAGTCAGAACTCAGAAAGATTTGCTCTCTAGTGGATTCGAAGAGGCGATTTTTGAAGACATCCCAGTTGCATGACTACATCTTAATCCTGAGACCCTCAGTTGTTTGCTGACTCATACACTCAGCCCAAGCAACTGAACCAACTCATTTGCTTGGTACAGAAGTATCATGAAGAAAAACAATGCTGTCTTCAGAGCTTTCTGAAGATGCACAACTGATCTGAGTGCCTACTTCTAAGGGCTCTCACATCCTCCAGAGAAAAGCAAGCCTGAAAAGAGTCGAGAGCATGTTTCAGCAACTTGACCCCCCATGTGCAGAAATCTGGGCTCCTCCACAAGGAAGAGGTGACATGGTGTTATTCGTTTGCCATACAAAGTGGACACAGGGTATCCAATCTCACTCTTTTTTCCTCTCCTCTTCTGAGCTTGAGTTTAAGTTAACATGGTGTGTTTTGTGGGCATAGAGTGACCAACCATCCCGGTTTGCCAGGAACTGGGCAGTTTCCCAGAATGTGGGACTTTCCATGCTAAAACCAGGACAATCCTAGGCAAACTGGGACAAGTTGGTCATCCTATGTGTGTAACTAAGGGGAGGCTCCCGAGTAATAGCTTTGTTACAGGTTTGTATATTTTTTTTTCCTTAATAACACACTGATCTCATGCCCACTAGAATCAGGACTAAAGGGACCTCAAAAACTGACTAAACAAGATAGCAGGGTGATATGGTAGGGAGTCCAGGCCTCTGGATTTCACTTCTGGCTTTACCTCTTTTGCTGGATGCTCTTAGACAGGATGTTTAATAGTAGATGCTTTATAAACTGTAGTTATTATTGTTACAAGGTATGTGTCTTATGGACCGGGTTCAAATTGGCCAGCCTTCTCTATATTCTTGGTTCAGCTCTAGAGGATGTTGGAACCAGAGTCTAGGGAAGCACTGGAGTGACCTCAGTGCATTCTGAGTTTTAGCTGGGTGGTCTGGGAGGCCCATCCATGCTTTCCAGTAACAGCCTGGCATACCTCTCTCAGGGCATGCTCCCACTGCACTGTAATGATCACTTTGGGTCTCCCCCTCTGTGGGGTAGGGAGGAGCTCCTGAAGGAAGGACACTTGTATTATTCATCTCCAGCCTTCCCGAGTGGCTAGAACAGGTCCTGGCTTCACAGTACGTACTGTATAATGTGGATGGTTGGATGGATGGGTGGGTGAATGCATGACTAGGGTGGATGGATGGATAGGTGGTTGGGTGGATGGATGGGTGGATGGATGGATGGTTGGATGAGTGGATAAAGAGGTGTGGATGAGTGGATAGATGGGTAAGTGGATGGATGGATGAGTGGATGGATAGGTGGATGGATGGATACATGGATGGATGGATGGATGAGTGGATAAAGAGGTGTGGATGAGTGGATAAATGACTAAGTGGATGGATGGATGAATGGATGGGTAGGTAGATGAGTGGATGTATAGGTGGATGAGTGGATGGATGGATGGATGGGTAGGTAGATGAGTGGATGGGTAGATGGATGGATGGATGGATGGATGGATGGATGGATGGATAGATGGGTGGATGAGTGGATGAGTGGATGGATAGGTGGATGAGTAGATGGATGGATGGGTGACTAGGGCAGATGGATGGATGAGTGGTTGGATGAATAGATGAATGGATGGGCAGACGGATGTATAGGTGTCATGGGTAGATAGATGGATGACAGATGAGTGGACAGATGGTTGGATGGAGGGACAGATGGATGGATGGGTGACTTGGGTAGATGGATGAATAGATGAGTAGGTGGATGGATAAATGGGCAACATCAGTGAGTCAGCAGTCTAATATTTCTTCCTTTCCTTATGGAAGAGAAATTGACTTAATGGATATGGAGGTGCTTTGACAAGAGAAGTGCTCTGTGAGTGTCCCTGTGGTGACATTTTTGGGTCTCTGGGTTTCTCTTAGCAGCCTCACCAGCTGCTCACTGTGTGGGAATGGGATTTATGAGGCTGCTTCAAAACCATGTGCAGAGGGGCATCTGGGTGCCTCAGTTGGTTAAACGTCCAACTCTTGATCTCAGCTCAGGTCTTGATCCCAGGGTCATGAGTTCAAGTCCCATGTGGGGCTCCGTGCTGGGTGTGGAGCCTACATTAAAAAAAAACAAAAAATCCATGTGCAGAGTCCAGCAGGCTTGCAGTTTTCAAGATCACTAATGTCCTTCCTCTTGCCTGCATCAACTTGCTGATTTCTGCTGAGCGGGTTTTCTGGGGGCATGGCTTTGCCACAGGAAGCATGGCTGCTGAAGCTGTTCTGCCTGACTGAAGCAAGTTTTCTGGAGTCTACATGAGCTCATCACTGTGCACTTTTTCTTGCTTTCTTGGGCATTCTCCTTATCTCTTTGTTGCTCTTATAGGCTAAAGTGGTCAGTTTAATTCATTAGCCGAATTATTGAAGTGAAAGTTTTCAAATGTGTATGTTTAAGTTGTGTCTCCTTAGAAACAGGACAGTTGGATATCCAGTTGGCAATTCTTCAGAGTTTGTCCTGACGCACCCCAGAAATGCTGAGATTTCTATCACTTCTGGTTTGTTCCTGTCACAGTCAGTGCTGTGGCTAGCAGTTAATCATTATTTGATGAGGCCAGGGCGGGCCCTTTGGTCAGGACTATCTTCACCCACTCCCTGAACTCGCCAGGCCATTGCCAGCTTCTCTCTTGGTTGGTGTTGGGCACAGGCAGCCATGATTTGATTTCACTTCATTTATGACAACTCTAAACTGGGCTGAGAAAACTATAGCTCTGAGGAATATTTTTTTTTTGAGGGTGTAGAAACCTGGCTTTATCAATTGTGAAAGAAGATAAGATAAATAATGCTAAATAATTCAGGGTCTCTTCATAATTAATTTTGTATTCATTTTCCCTGAGTATTGGGAGAGACAGAAACCATGACATTCCAATCTCACTTTTTATGAACACCGAAGAAAAAAAAATTCTTTGATGTACATATTCATGGAAAACCAATACTTGTAAAATAATAAAAACCGGAGGCCACAGAGCAGACCTCCGGTAGAAATAAGACATTTAAAAGGGCAGCACAGGCAACTACTCAGTCGCCACCTCTTAAACTAAGGCTGTGTCCTAAGGCAAGGTCATTACTGAAGACTCCCCAGGAATGGGAGTTTAGGGGCTTTGCTATTGAGATTAACAAAAGGACAGACCTCCCCCCCCCCCCACCGCCACTACCACCACCAGCTTTTCCCCAGCCCACCCTGGAGCTACCACATTTGCCTAAACAAGGCCCTAATTGTTGGACTTGGCGTATTTTCTGGATGCCAAATACCTGGAAGACTTTTGAGCCTTTTTCTCCACAGCAGGATGGACGGTTTCAGTAAAAGGCCTTATTACTACAGAAAACCATCGTTGGCATGTTTGATGCAGTTGAATCCATAATGATTTGGCTTCCTTTGTTATCTCGATTTGTTTTCTGCTGGTAGAAGATCCTCCTTTAATCACCGAGTGTTGACAGAAGAGCATAAAGGGTTGTTTACCGTCTGCCCCCCCATTTGTAATTAGTCTGCCACAAAGTGCCTTTTAAAGAAAGCAAAAGTTCGTTTTTCTCTTTCTCCCCGATTGTTAGACAGAATTATGTCTCGCACATAGTCACATTTTGAGTTACTCTTGGTGAAATACAATTGACTTCCACATAAAAGCAAGAATGACTATGTTTGCCATCAAGTAGGAGGCCAGTACAGCCTTTCCCCATCCACTGTCCGAGGCCAGTTAATAAAAACAAGCCTAGCGTCCGGCCACAGAGCCCTGCATGTCCCAGTTACACAGACGACATTAGTAAACTGCATGGAACTTAGTAAAAGCTTCAAAAGACTGAACGAGAACCCTTCTTTTCTTCCCATGGTTCAACAAAAACCAAAACCTCATTTTACAAGCAAAGCCAGGTCTTTGATTTTCATATGGTTTCTCTGAAATGCAGAAATTTGGATGAAGTAGCGTTAAGGCCAAGCCAAAACTTAACCAAAGCAGCCGTCGCCTTGCCAAGGACACTCGTAACCTCCCCGTGTCCCAGCATGACACGTGGGCCTCTCCTGCTCAGCCCAAGGGAAGGCACCTGTGGATTCTTCACCTCGAGCTCCTCCTCAGAGCCAAGGATCGTGGGCTACTATTTCAGATGCCAGAGAAAACACAGAGCATGCTCCTGTTTCATACCTGCACACAGTCATAAGAGGGAACGTGCGTTACCCTTGTTAGTGGACCAAAGAGAAGAGTTTAAATGAGACATTACGTAGTCAAATATGTGGCTTTGGTGTAAAACTGCAAATGTGAATACTCGTTGACTAGGAAAGGTAAAATGGCCTCTCTCGTGTACTAATGGCCACCAATACTTTTTCAGGGCCCACAGCCTGTCACCTACAGATCACCAAGCAGCTTTCTACCTGGCGCTGCAGCTTGCCATCTCCAGACAGGTCAGTTTCTCTCATGTTCCCTAAACTTGGTGCATGCTCTGTCTCCATGCAGTTCCTTCAGCGCCTCTCTGTGAGGCAGTAGCTTGTCTTCTCTCATTCACCTGAGACGGACCTGGAGCCGGGGTCTCTTCTGAGCGGATGGTGACTCCTCCCAGCACAGCCACCGGTGTTTTGGTCAGTTTGAGCCCCTGCTGGGATGATACCGGTGTCCCAGGTTCTGCTTCAGGAGATTAAGTCCACAGATCTGGAGGGTTCAGAGGGCAGCATGGGATGCAGCACATGGCATATGCCCGGAGCCCAGGAGTCCCCAAAGAGCCTTTGTCCCTTGCTGGTGGGCCCAGTGCTGAGCTGCATGATGGCGAATGAGCCCCTGGTTGTCATAAGGAAGATGCCAGCAGGCAGGGGCGAGAGGTGCCCGCTTCCTTTATAACATGTAGAAGATAGGGACCATCTCTCCTCCAAATACGGGACTCAGCAGCATTCTCCTTGCTGGAGAGGCAAGCTCTTCTGGCCTTCATCTTCCCAATGGCAGCTTCCAGAAGCTGCCTTTGCCATTCTCGTCCCCTTCCAGCTGCTCGGAGGCTCTGGCCGCATGCCTGCCTGACCACCAGGTGCAAGACACTGGTGGTAACCCCAGCACAGTCCTGAGTGCTGACTGGAGGTGAAGCAAAGATCAGCCCCTGAGACATGCCATTCCCCGGGCAGGCCCCGCTGTAGGTATGTCTCTGACTCCCCACAGGCTTGGGAATGGCGTGGAGGAGTGACTTCCAGTGGTGACCCGGGGCCTGAGGAAACCAAGATGCATCCTCTGTACAGGCCCTGTGGCCTGGCATGGTGGGGCTCACAGCTGGACCAACGGGGAGCTGCTGCTGCAACAGCTCTGCACTGGTCCCCCCCTCCCCGGGAGCTTCTCTCACCTTCTTCGCAAAGCCTCCTTTGTGCGGCGGCCTGCCCTTCTTCCTCCTGCTCAGCTCTCCTGTTCAGGATCTGTCTTCCTCCCTAGACTTTAGGTTCCACGAGGGCAGAGGCTCTTGTCCATCATCCTCATTGCTTTACCCCGGCAGCTGGAACACTGCCCGACAGGTGTTAGGCATTGGGTAATGCTCGTTCAATGAAGGAACTAGCTTGGAATTCCTTCAAGTCAGCTAGCCCTTAAGGAGGGCTGGTCACCCCTGCAGATCAACGCCATGAGTATACCTGCCTTTCCACCCTCCTTGTGGCAGCAGGCTGAGTGCCGTTCGTTCACAGAGTGGGTGGTTGCCCCGAGGAGAGGATAAGTGGATGGGGCCTTATGGGCGCTGCCGCCATCTTTGTGGGCCCACAGCGTAAGGTGCACACTCTGTGGGACTGTGTCCCTGCTGGGCCGGGACTGGGGCCCTCTTACCTTTAGAACCAATGCCATTTGAGCAGGAGAGGAGGAGAGGGCAGGAGGGGAATCAGAAGACCTAGCGTCACTCTTGTCCCAGTCACTCAAAAGCTAGATGGAAATGCTCAAGCCTGTCAGCCCCCGGGACTCGGCTTCCTCCCTATAAAGGAAGGGCTGGGCTGGACGAGCCCTCTCCCGGCTGTGACCCCCCTGATGCTGTGACTCAGTGGCAGAAAGCCTCCGTAGCCAGCAGTTAGAACTTAAATCTATCAAAAATAGGATTTCGGAGAGGAAAACGAATAGGTTTAGGAAGTCGTGGCTTCTTGCTAACAGAGTGAGGTTCCTGAGGGCTGAGAAGAGGTAGGAGAGCTGAGGAAAGATCCAACGTGGGGACTGGGTTTGGGGGCTGGAGACAGGAAGGAGTCCCTGGGGTGGCTGTGTAAGAATGCTCCGAGCTCTATTTCAAAATCCAGTGTCAGGTTCTAATTCTCCCTGGTCACTGTTAAACCTGCATGGCATCTCGGGATCCATTATGTATGCATTTTATCAACTCTGGTGCCTGGATGATTTTGAAGAAAGTCTTGAAGGCTCTTGCATTTTAAAGGTTAAGGTTGTCTCTGGTCCTATTTGAATTTGGATACATCTGCTTTGTATGTGTCATTGCAATTTGTTTCTTGCATGGCGTTATTTTGGGTTGTAGTTTGAAAAGGTGTGGGGTTTTGTTTGTTTGTTTGCATATTTCCTTGATGTCTAATGGAGTGTCCGGGACGAAGGTACTTTGGAGACACTCACAGGTGTCTGATCGTTTGGAAAGCTCTGTTTACAGTTTTGTAACTTACTGTGTACTTTGGTTCGGTAGTACCTTAAACAATGAGAACAGTTCAGCTCAGGCAGTTTAATTCCAGTAAGAACCTCTGGCAAGTTGCATGTGTCTCCATTGAGAGTGAAATTATCTTGGGCACAATCAAGAGTGCATCAGTTTTGTGGAAAAGAGAAACTGTGTTTTAGGGAGAAACAAAAGATTTGGTATTGGCAGTCTTACAGAGAGAAACAGAGCCTCTTGCATCACTCCGTGGGTCACACTATCGCTTGAAGAGGACATCTGTTTGCATGTCTGTGGTTAATATCCTGGGGCTATCACAAAGATTAGGATCTGAATGTGGCACAGGGTGAAATGACTTTTGATATTTACAGAGAATCAGTTATTGAAGTGGTAGCTTCTCTCATGTGTGCGTGCGCGCGCACACACACACACACACGTTGCGCGTTTTAAAATTCTTTTTGATTTTGTTTTAAACCAGATCCCAGAGGCTCTGGGGTACGTCCGCCAAGCTCTTCAACTTCAAGGTGATGACGCCAACTCCCTGCACCTCCTCGCCCTCTTACTCTCTGCACAAAAGCATTACCACGATGCTCTGAATATCATTGACATGGCCCTCAGTGAATATCCGGAGAATTTTATGTAAGTGCTTCTACTCAGAAAGTTACTCACTTTTACTCCTCCCCCCTTCCTTCATTCTACTTTAAGTCCTTCACAGATATCCTGAGGATAAATAGTACAAACTTCCCTTATTCTTGTTTTTGCATGATATTTGGAAACAAACATAGCCTGTCGGGTCACCCTTATTAAGTTAAAAATACCTTATCGCGTCTTTCCCAATGTGTACCCTTAGTGCACACTAAAGGTGGATTTTAGATGGATGGTGGATGAACATTTTTACTGTAATAGTTTTACATTTTTAAATGTACATTAGAAAAAAAATATACCTGCGTATCAAAGTGTGATTTGACAGAAATTATTGGTCAGAGGGAGACGACAGATGTTTTTAAATGAGTTGTCTTAAAGTCAATTTGAAGAAAAACATTTTCCTATTTTAGGCGACTTCCACCAAGGTACCTGACCTCTTTGTGCCTTGGTTTGTTCTCTAGGAACTAGAACTCCTTAAATAAATCAGTTCATCTCTGTACCTAACCTAAGAATTGCCCTTATAAGCTGCCATAGGCATGAAAGCTTATCTTCCCAACATTCCTCCAAATCCCTGAATCCAGGCCTGTCGGGGAGGCTTTGGAAGAAGGACATTGTCGTGTGGGTGCCTCGGTTCCCATTTTATTCGCAGTGGAGTAGCCTGGTAACCAGGACACAGCGGCCAGAAACAGTAAACACTGTGCAGGCTGACAGCTTCTAATTGTCTAAGTGGCAGGGTCCGAGGTGGCGCGGGGCGGTGTGGGGGGTGGGGGGGGAATGTGGTCAGGGAGCAGGGGGTGGGGATGGAGTGTGGGCAGGGGTTCGGAGCAGCTCTTCTTCACTTTGGGAAATCAGCGCCTTTGGCTTTATTTCTCTGCCTCATCACCTCACTGTTTTTAATCAGTGTGTTTCAGCAGCTCTCCTTAGAAAATTGGTTCACCCATTTCCATTACAAACATTTCTTTGTCTTCAAATGAAAAGGGCACTTCTGTTCTCCCCATCCAGAAGATTCTCATTATCATCCAGGAAACCTCTGACTAGAGATTTCTTTTGTCGGTTCAGCTATTTGTGCCAAGTGCATTAAAGAGCTTTGCTGCGTGTTTTACTTAGCGCAGCCTCACACTTGCTCTGTTACACACCGAGTGTACTTCTGGGTTTCATCCAAAGCTGGTTAGCCCATGGAGTCTTCAAGCAGTCAAAGCACTTTACGGAGGACTCGGTCCTTTACCCATCAGTAAAGTACCTGATGCAATTGAATTCTGTTTCTCTCATCAATATTTATAAAGCAGATTTCCCTGCCTCCCACCCCTAACACCTTCATTAGACCTTAGATTCCAGCATGTGTCTCCTGTGTAGACAGCCTGGGGTGTCATCCTAGAGGAGGGCTTATTAAACTAATAGCCACGCCACGCAGTGAGCAGTAAACAGTGGTGGCTAATATGGTAATGCTTCCAAGTGACAGCAGCTGACAGTCTTTTCAAGTAGAATAAGTAAGGAACAGCAGTAGAGATATTTGAGGAATGCGAGCCTGTTATTTTAATGTTAAGCTGTAAGCTCAAAAAAAGCAAAGCATATGGCAGCAGGTCTGAGAGCAGCCGATGACTTGTTTGCTTTTTAAATATTTGTATTTCTTCCTATGTGATGGGAAACTTCTTCCCAAGAATACTTTATTAAAAGTTGGGGCCAGATGTAGTTGGTGGATCCCGTGGTTTCTTTCCAAACCCGGGGTAAAACATTTCAACACCAACCTAAACAAGATGATGTGGGCACCTGTCCCGAATGTTGAGCAGTAGTATCTGTTTGTTTGTGACAGGCTTGTCTCCCGCAGAACCAGAGACTCTCAGAAGCCTGGGAGTGCCTGTTTCTTGCGTCCCATCAGCCAGACGCAGATTGAGGACATGGCTAATGTTTCCTCCATACCTGCCAGATGGAGGGGAGGGCCCTTGCCACAGTCGGGCTGAGGCCTGTTTAACTGTTGGGTAGTTCAACTGTTGAAGGGAGAATTGATTTAGCTGGCCGCTTAGCCTGATGCCGAGAATCATAGACCCATTGGTTCCTGTTAGGTTCCCTCAAGGGAACTTTTATCATTTCCTGGTGACAGTGAGGATAATACTTGAGAGACCGGCTGCCCCTCCAAGGACATTGAGCTGTCTGAGCTAGAGCATTTAAGGCATTTATAATGGTAATCACTCAGTAGTTGGTAGGAATTCATATTATCAGGATGACTAGTACTTCTCCAGTGTTCTCAAATGCGATATTTTAAATCCTTTAAAATTGTTATTAGATATTGAGCAAAAGCCAAAGGATACTTATTAAATATATTTAAAATAATAATACGACTAACACATACACCCGCTTCTTAGTTTAAGAAAAAGAAGATTAATATTGCCTATGAATTTCCCGTGTACCCCCGTGTCTCCTCATCCCCTTAACCTCTCTAACATCTCCGAACGTTAACCACATCCTGAATTCTAGGCGGGGCATTCCCTTGTGTTTCTATACCATAGATGTTCGCGCTCCCAACTAATAAAAATTTCTAGTTTTGCATATTTAAAAATTTTTAATGGAATTGTACTGAATATATCCTTACACTGCTTGCTTTTGTTGCTTAACATTACTAGGTTCCGGAGGTTCATCCTTATTGCACGCAGCCTCAATGTGTTCCTTTACACCGATACATAGTATTTTATTATATAAATATACCACGGTGTATTTTTCCAGGCTGTTGGAAATGGATATACAGGTTGTTTGCAGTCTTCAGCTGTTAGGAGCAGAGCTGCTGTAGATATTCCTGTACGGGTCTCCTGGTGTACAGGTGCATGTACTTCTGTGGGTATTACCTGGGAGTGAGATTGTTGGGTCATATATGTGCCTCTTCCGTTTTGCCAAATAATTCCAAACTGTTTTCCAAAGGGGCTGTGCCACTTTGCATGCCCAGCGGCAGTGCCCGAGAGCCTGTGGGCTTGCACACACCAACACCCCGCCCCCACACCCCGCCCCCATGTTTCAGACTTATTTTTGGCCACGTGATTGCTTGTTAATGGAGTCAGGTTGTGAATTTAAGTGACATGATGAGGTTGAACACCTTTGTCTCTCTATATTGGCCATTCAGCTTTCCTGTTCTGTGAAGCACAGGGAGAGGTCTTTCCTCTTTGCCAATTGGGTTGACTTTTTCATGCCAACTCATAAAATTTCTTTATATATTTTGGTTACAAGGCCCTTTGTTGGTTATATGTGTTGCAAAAATCATCTCCTCATCTGTGACTTGTTTTCTGATGAACAGAAGTTCTTATTTTTAAAGTAGTTGCATATATCAACCATTTCCTTCATGGATTGCACTTTCTGCATCTAGTTTAAGAAACCTTCCCTTCCCTTCTCCAGGGTCATAAAGACAGTCTCCTAGGTTATATTCTAAGAGCTCTTTTGTGTTACCTTTCACACTTACAAGGGTCCATCTGGAAATGATTGTTTGATGTCTGTATGGTGGGAAGGATTCAGTGTAGTGTTCCCCCACGTGGACACAGTTGTCCCAGCATCGTGTACTGGAAAGATCCCTTCCCTGTTGCTCCTCGTGCTACTTTTGTCTTAAATCAGATGCCCATATATGGGTGGGGGGGCCGGAGGGGGACAATTTCTGACCTTTCTACTTGGTTCTTTCAGTCAGTGTGTCATCTATGTGTGATTGCCACTTTCTGCATTCCTACAACTTTATTATATGTGAGGTAGGTCCCTCCCTGTATCTTGCTCTTCAAGAGTGTTGTGGCTATTTCAGGCCTTTGAGTTTGCGTATAAATTTTTGAATCAAGTTTGTGAAGTTCAACAACAACAAAAAAATCTATTGGAATGACATTTAATCTAATAGCTCAGCTTGGGGAGAATTCTGTATTTGTGACAGTGAGTCTTCTAATCCATGGCCATTACATCTAATTATTTAGGTCTTTAAAAAATACTTTTTAATGAAGTTTTACAATTTTTCTTATTAAATATTTTGCCCATTTTTTACTGGATTTATTCCTAGTTACCTGAAAAAAATTTCCATTTGTATACACTATATGTATACCGTCTTTTTTTCTTTATCAAATTTCTATCTACTTGTTGCTAGTGTTTAGAAAGGCAACTGAATTTTGTACATTCTTGACTCAACAACTCAGCTAAACTTTGTAATTCTAACAATTTATATATAGATTACTTTGGACTTTCTATACAATGACTTTTATCTGAAATAATTAAAATTTAGTTTCTTTATCTCTAATCCTTCAACTTTTTAAAACTGGCCTTACTGGACTAGGTAGGACCTTCAGTATAGCTAAATAAAATTCTTTCAGTGTTTTACCATTAAGAATTATGTTTGTTACAAGTTTGTTTATAGATACTATTTAAGAAGTTAAGGAAATTTCCTTCTTCCTGATTTGCTAAGAGTTGATCTTTTTAAATCATGAATTGATACTGAATTTTATCAAATGCTTTTTCTGTATTTGTTGAGATAATTGTATGGTTTTGTTCCTTTAACCTGTGAATGTTATATTGATTGATATTTTTAAATGTTAAATTAACCTTGCATTCCTGGAATAAGCCCAACTTGATGATGACATATTAGCTTTTTTTAGTGGATTCAGTTTACTAATTTTTTAGGAACATTTGTATTTGTTCCTGTGTGAAATAGCTTGCAATTTTCCTTTCTCATTGTATACTTGTCAGGTTTTGGCATCAAGATTGGGCCAGCCTCATAAAATGAGTTGGAGTAGTTCTTTTGTGTGTGTTTTAGAATCGTTTGTGTAAGATTGGAATTATTTGTTTCTAGAATAATAAGTTTCGGTAGAATTTGCCTGTAAAACCATCTGGCACTGGTCTTTTTTCTATGGAAAGACTTCTTATGCTTTTACAAAAATGATTATAGGATATTCAGGTTTTCTGCTTCTTTTAGTAAGCTATGTATAACATAGAAGCTAAAATATATATAATATATGTATATATCTTAAGTGTTTGTCCATTTCATC